AAATAAAGAATGATTTAAAAACACAACTTTGACACACAGCAGGACTAAATCACAATTTAAAATATATTCAAATAGAAAACAGTTATAATATTTCACAATTCTATTATTTATTTTAGTTTTACTTATTTTTGATCAAATAAATGCAGCCTTAGTGAACATTGTACACAACACACACACACACACACACACACACACACACACACACACACACACACACACACACACACACACACACACACACACACACACACACACACACACACACACACACACACACACACACACACACACACACACACACACACACACACACAGTGTCAGGCCTAGAAAATAACGTTTTCATCCTTTAATTTTTTTCTTCTTATTATTATTATTATTTACAAAAAAGTACAACTTTCCTTAATCATGAATATCAGAAAGTTATACCATTTGACATTTGTGAACCAAAGTTGACCCTACAAGGTATTTCAAACAATACCATGACATAATTTGTGCCATTTAATAAGATCTCGTTCAATTAATGCAGTTATTAATAAATAATAATAATAATAATAGCAAAGAAAAAAAAAAGTATGACGGTACTAAGATATTTTGGGATGTGTACCATAATAAAACCATAGTAGACTGAAGTTGAAATGAAGATGCTACAGTATTCAGTATAGCACTACTCCAACTCTTCATCAGCAGTGTGTAGAGAGATGTCTGAGCGCCCACTCACCCGTGTCCTGTCTGAACTGTTTGAGGTTGGGGATGTCGATGATGTACGCAGACAGGCTGGGGTCTGCCTGTGCCAGACAGATGCTGCTGCTGGCGGGCCCGGCTCCTCTCTGGTGCTGGAGACACTGCTCGATGTAGCTGCTCACCTGTCCGGTGTAGGGCCTCCAGTAGCCCAGATCATCCTGCCATTCCCAAACCACCGCCATCGGCTGAGCCTGTCCTGGCACTCCAGACGAGGAAGACGACGGTGATGCGAATGATGGTCCGTTTCTAGATCCACTCCCTCCGGAATGGAAACTGGAGCCCGTTGCCATTTTATCTGTTAGAAAAGATCCCAACTACCCGCCGGCGATATTAAAACAACCCCGAGTAAAGCAATGTGACGATCTGGCCCAGCTAACAACAACAACACCCTTTCGGTTTCACCGGATTTAAACCCAGCTAGCCTGCTAACTAGTCGTATTCCCTAAGAGGTCGATCAATATCGCCACTATAGTGTTTTATTCAGTAGTACACCTTTATTTAGCCGCAGATTTGACCATAAACCCACTGACGTCGCATCATCTTGTTGGGCTGCTGGAGTCGCAGCTTCAGACTAACGTTAGCCGCGTCTCGCGCTTCTCTTCGCCATTCGGTGCGTTACTGTACGGCTACCAGGCTCATAAACCACTATCATATAATATAACCGAGACTATTTAGTAGGCAGCAGACTGAAGTTGTCGGGTCGCGAATAAAAACACACTACTCGACATGATAATTAGATGTTTAAAGTACGCACTGGGTTGTAGCGCTACGGTGACTTCCTCGCCTGCGGTGTGTGTTTGTGTCGCTGGCTGCTGCTGGTGGATTCCCATCGATACACAGAGAACTCCCCTCTGTAAATATGGCTTGACTGTTTCCGCAATATTTTACAGGTTTAAAATAAAGTGCTTTATATTTTTTTTAATTGTTTTAATTGCTAATTTTTTTTCTGACGCTATTGGAAGTTTACTCACTGCTGTCGTTAATCGTACTATAACAAATATTAAACCTTGTCTCTGGTATATAATGTCCGCATGGCATAAGACTTTTATTTTGAAAGCATTTATAGACAATATGACAAATGGCAAAATAAAGGTCCCTCCACACCTTTTTATAAAGAAGTAACGTACATACATAGCTTGTTAAAAAGTAAATTAAACATAATTTACAGTAAATTATATAATTTACAGTTAATTATATACATTATTTTTAAGCATGTTGGTGACTTTCAGTGTGCTGCAGCTTTGGTGATGTTGAAGTTTCGTTCACTCTCTAACACTGGCCCTGTTGCCCCAAAGGTTAAAGAGGCTTGTTAAAAAAATCCTGTTTAGAATATATCCACATGGCAAATTTTACAGAAGAGATTTCAGTTTGTTCTTCCTTTCCTGGAACTCTTGAACGCCCTTTACTGCTGTGATTTTACCTCTAATTTTTGGGTGGATGTTTTCAATTATATTTCAGTGAAAAATAATCATATTTATCCCTTAGTTTTAGAAAATACCCTGTTTTAGGATATATTGAATTCCCTGTAAATGTGCTGGGTGAAAATGTACACATTTACACATGTAAATAGAAGAAATGTAAACACTCCTTTATTTCAAAAATTTTGTGAGAATATTTCAAAATATTTGCTTTCAAATATTTCAAAGAAAACTAAGTAAAAGATGGGAAACATATGCTCCTCATTGTTCAAATTCATGTCTTTGTTATAGTCCATTAAATTATTATAATTTTTTTGTATGTGAGTGTGGTGTTCTTTACGATGTTGATATGTTCCGTCTTGCATTGTATGTGCAATAAATAAATGCAAAATGTGCAACAAAAAATGTAAAATGACAATGAAGAAATTAACATTAGTAATGTTAATAAAGATTTCTATTTTAAATAATTTCAAATAATTCACATTTCTATTTTCCATTTTATATTTCAATCTTTCTGTTCATCGAAAAAATGGAAACACCTCCACACAATTATTGCTGTATTTAACAGCTATAATAATAAGAAGAAAAGGTTCTTGAGCAGCATGATTTCTGAAGGATCATGTGACACTGAAAGCTGGAGTAATGGAGCTTTAGCATGACAGGAATAATACATTTTAAAAAATATATTCAAATAGAAAACAGTCCTTTCAAATGGTAGATTTACAGTTTTTACTGTATTTTTTAGTGAAAAATATTGTAAAAAATCTGTGAAAATGTGTGATATTGCTTTCAAGCCAGCAGATGGTGCTAATGATGGTCTTATGTTTCTGGAATGTTAATTTTTCTTCTCCATTAATCTAGTTTCCATGTGAGATCACATATTTCCAAGGCTTTCACTGCATAACAACATTCACATCATGATCACACAAACGCAAGGCAACACATTTTATTTGAAAGGCCTAAATGGCATTAAGGTACAGCATATAAATACTGGCGATTCCAGAGACGGTCATTACATAATAACATTATAGCATTCTTTCCGTTACAAACAATACATTCATGATGTTTTCTCCGGGAAATGTAATGGAGCTTTAGCATGACAGGAATAATACATTTTTAAAAATATATTCAAATAGAAAACAGTCCTTTCAAATGGTAGATTTAGTTTTTACTGTATTTTTTAGTGAAAAATATTGTAAAAAATCTGTGAAAATGTGTGATATTGCTTTCAAGCCAGCAGATGGTGCTAATGATGGTCTTATGTTTCTGGAATGTTAATTTTTCTTCTCCATTAATCTAGTTTCCATGTGAGATCACATATTTCCAAGGCTTTCACTGCATAACAACATTCACATCATGATCACACAAACGCAAGGCAACACATTTTATTTGAAAGGCCTAAATGGCATTAAGGTACAGCATATAAATACTGGCGATTCCAGAGACGGTCATTACATAATAACATTATAGCATTCTTTCCGTTACAAACAATACATTCATGATGTTTTCTCCGGGAAATACCCCACTTTAACGAACTTAAGAGTAACTTACAAAGCTAAAAGAATACAAAAAGTCTCTCAGTTGAATATAAGTTAGTGCTATCATGTTAGGGCTTTTCCATCCCGAAACCTGAAGCAGATGTTTCTTTCTGAATACATACAGTAGCTAGCTGTTTTTAGCATCGTTAGTCATTCAGTACTTTATGCTCTATACTGAATGTGGTAGATTACATTCTCTGCATATACAAGTTTTTATTTAAATAAATAAATAAATAATACAAACATTTGCAAGGCATGAGACCCAGAAAACTACAGGAGTCCCTGTTGAAAAAACCAGCATATGCTGGTTAGGTATGTTTTGACAGCATATGCTGGTTTTTTCAACAGGGGTCGTATCCAGTAAGCACATACTCTACGAGCTCTCGGCACCAAACAAGGCTGTGTATACCAACAGTGATTTGACGTATTTGGGGAAAAAAACAAATCCCAAATCCCGTTCTTACTGCTCTGCTATTACAAAAGCATTATAGTTCATCTGATACGCAAATAACGGCTACTCCTTTTACAACCAACCTCCTAAAGGAATAGTTCTGTCACTGCTCCAGGTGTGTGTTCACGGTGTGTGTGTGTGTTCACTTCTCACTGCTGTGTGTGTGCACTTGGATGGGTGAAATGCAGAGCACAAATTCCAAGTTTGGGACACACTTGGCCACACGTCACGTCCTTTCCTTTTCCTTTCCCTTTCCTATTCACTCACTCTCATGTCGCTCCAAGCCTGTATGCTGTTCATGTTTTAGTGGAACACTTAAAGGAACAGTTCACCCAACAATGAAAACTTGCTGAAAATGCACTCAACCTCAGGCCATCCAAGATATAGATGTAGATGAGATTGTTTCTTCATCAGAACAGATTTGGAGAAATTGAGCATTATCCTCTGCAGTGAATGGGTGCCGCCAGAATGAGAGTCCAAACAGTTGATTAAAAACGTCGCAGTAATCCACAAGACTCCAGACCATCAAATATTGTTTTGTAATAAATTCATCAAGACATTTTTAATTTCAAACCATTGCTTCCAGGAAAAACTTGCATCCTCTATCCATAATATTGGTATCTCCATTGAAAAACAGTCTCGTCTGAATTAGAAGAGGAATTTGCAGTATACCGTCCAAAACAGTTCTAAACAAATAAATAAGTGTTATTATGGACTGGTATTTTGGCTAGAAGCGATGGTTTTAAGTAATAAACTTTTCACTTCTCAATACATTAATTGCTGGACTGGAGTCGTGTGGATTAATGTTTTGTTTCTATCAGCTGTTTGGACTCTCATTCTGACGGCACCCATTCACTGCAGAGGATCCACTGGTGAGCAAGTGATGCAATGCTAAATTTCTCCAAATCTGTTTTGATGAATAAATAAACCCATATACATCTTGGGTGGCCTGAAGGTGTGTACATTTTCAGCAGATTTACATTTTTGGATGAACTATTCCTTTAAAAGTCCGTTTTTGACAAATCTTCACACAGAACAAATCTTCTTTTACATGATTTCTATTTTCGTGTTCCACAAAAAAAATCAAAAGCATTTGTTTTTGGACTGACGTGAGGTTGAGTACTATTCCTCTAAGTAATAAAGCACTAGCAGATTGATTTACTGCCGTGTTTTTCCATCATTAGCACTTCATTCAGAAACAACTGCATCCAACAGTTCACACTCTCTAATACCTGCCAGAACACACAGGCGTCTCCATGCGCGAGCCGCAGGATCTGCCACAGCTCTGAAGAAAGCTGAATTTAGCATTCAGAAACGTCAGGTTTATTAAAAAAAGGTCCCTTAACGGTAGAAGTCTTTCGTACGGAATCAGAAAGTTTATTAGTATTTGACTTTTCCAGGAACTTGAACATTCACTCCACTATAGTCCACCATGTACATGGGCCATTGCTGAAAAAGAAAAAAAGGACTTTTTAATAGTAGTTCAGTTAGTAAAAATTAGCCACTTTGAAGGTCAACATGAAAATTCATTTGAATGGACCCCATTTACTCTCTTAATTCATGTTCATGGTCTAAATGTGCAAAAATGATCTGTGTTTGAAATATTTTGTGTTTTAACAAAATGTAAGAACTTGTGCTGACTGTAAAATTACTATTCAGTTGATGTCATCTAGGCTGCACAAGCGATTGTACTGTACACAATACAATTCAAAAGTTTGGGGTCGGTACGATTATTTATGTTTTAAAGTTTAAAGTCTATTATGCTCACCAAGGCTGTATTTATCTGATCAAATATACATTAAAACTGTAATATAGCTAAATATTACTATTTTACTACTATTTTTACTATATTACTATTATTATTACCATTTAAAATAACCGTTTTCCATTTTAATATATTTTAAAATGTAATTTTTTCTTTTGATGGCAAAGTAGAATTTTCAGCATCGCATGATCCTTCAGAAATCATTCTAAAATGCTGATTTTGGGCTCAAGAAACAGTATTATTATCAATATTAAAAACAGTTGTTCTGATTAATATTTTTTGTGGAAACTGTGATACTTTTTTTCAGGATTACTGATGAATAGAAAGAAAAAAAAACAGCATTTTATTTGAGATAGGAATCTTTTGCAACATCACAATTGTGTTTAATCTATTTCATGCATCTTTGCTGAATAAAATTATGAATTTCTAAAAAATAAATAAATAAAATTCTTCCTAACCCCACACTTTTGAACACTTTTGTAACATTAGTTAACGAGTACCTAACTGCCTATTTATTAAGTCCTACTCCACATTTTATTCCTCATTGAATCTTGTTCAAAAAATGTCACATTATAAACGTATTCTGGGATGAAAAAAGTCTTTTATGACGAAGTAAAGAAAATAAAAAAAAAGTGTAATTATAAAACCACTCATCTATAATATGTTTGCTTACCATGACAGGAATCTGACTGGTTGATAGTGTTGAGTCTGCTCCAGTGGGCATGGATGCTTGACTGTTGTCAAGTACTCGTTTACGTTTGCGTCGATTTGTAGACACTTCTTTACCGCAATAAATAACCACAACACTAAATCTATCATAAATGATGCCTTATTCTTACCACTTATTGGGGTGTAACCTTTCTTCAATATGGTTATTCGTCGTGGTGCTGGCAAAGTAAAAAGGATTTGATTCACTTATTTCCATGAGTAATTCAGCAAAAATATAGACAATTTTAAAAAAGCAGTGCTATGAAATTTTCACAGCTTACCTGGCTTGGGAATAAGCCCTTGGAAAGGCCTGAAAATATAAAAAAGACAAAAATACACAAATCAATCACTTTTTTTTTCTTATTTAAAAAGATTTAAAAGTTCGAAAGCTCTTCAAAAACTTGGCGCAGCCCCTCACCTTGTAATACTGAAAGAGATCTTGTCTGCCACCGCTAATATCCTCTCTAGATTCTGTGAGCCGAAGGTACAGGGTTTTCTGAAGGGGATGCCAGGGGGCAAGCCCTCGATAATCACTGAGCCAGGGTTACTCTTGATCCTCTTGTAAGGCACTTGCACAGGATACTTAATGCCCAGTGCCTCGCCGTATTTCCTGTTGAACAGGTCTTGGACCTGCTCTCGCAGAGTGTTCGCCAAGTCGATACGGGAGAGCTTGGCCTCTAAACTGTCTGCGGGCAGAACAATGTTAGAAAAGCCAACGGTTTAGTGATAGCATATCGGGAAAGGTTAGAAGGAATTAAGTTTTGAACATGAACTGGCATCCAAAAGATGAACACTTGGCACATGGATCAACTGAATCACTTCATTTAGTCAGGATGTAATAAAGTCACAAACTTACTGTGTACAACGCCTGATATCTTAATCATGGTGTTACCTGAGAATCCTGGTCTTTTGGAGGCAAGTCCCGGGTCATCTGATTGGTCTTTGGAGTCAGTCTCTGCTGAACATTTAATCAAAAGAAGCATTATATTTAGGGATGCACGATATAATCGGACCAATATCGGAATCGGCCGATAATGGCTTTAAATGTAAATATCGGCAACGGCCAGATATGAAAAATGATGCCGATATGTCTTGCCGATAAGAGGAATACATTAACTCCCATGTGCTCAGGGTGTGCTAGCGATTAGATCATGTCAGCATTGTGGCTCATTCTTGAAGCAAAGTTTTGCCTGAATGATGATTAGATTCACTGTTTTGAATCGCTGCATTTAAACTGAGAATGCAGGTACAGAATAGGTGTATGATAGAGTAAAATGTAATAGCACGTGCAGCGGCAGCAGCCTCCCCCGGGTCCTATTGCCCGCTCAGTAAGGAGTTTTAATTATGTAAGGGGCGCTGTTGACCTACTTCTAATAAAATTATAGCAAAATACACATATAATATTTAGACTGTGTTTCTGATTAAATAAAGCAGTAATTGATGCCATAAAATCATGAGTATGTTTTGAATTAAAGTTCAGAAGCTATAGCTTATAATGAAAAAAAAAAAACACAAACATGTCACTTAAATAATTTTATATATACTGATTTATTCATTAATGTGTAATATGTTATATTACACGTTTTATACACGTTATATGTTATAAACAAATTATGAGCTCTAAAAGATTTTCTGAATTTTTACAACTCTTGCTTTAGACCATTTACAAATGTTAAATCTTAAAATAAAATGTTAAGGTTACCACTGCATCTTTCTGGAAAAAAAAATGCAGCGATTGAATATAGTTTATTTATAGTTATTTTCAAATCTGTGTCATTATAAAAGAACTTCATTGTTGTTTATTTCATTCTAACAAATAAGTTATTGTTAAAAACTAAAAAAAAAATTAAAAATAATTTGCTTATAATTTCTGTACAGGAGAGACTTGGTGTTTTTTCCAAACAAAAGGAAATATATCGGTATCGGCATCGGCTATCGGCCAAAATGAGTTGAAAAATATCGGCATATCGGATATTGGCAAAAATCTAATATCGTGCATCCCTAATTATATTAGATTTATAACAAAAGTGATATTTTGGCTAATACAGAACGACTACACATATAAAATGGACAGTTAAAACAAAACCAAAAACAAACAAAGCAAAACAAAAAACAAAACCCCTGCAAATAAAATAAAACCCCCCAGATAAAATAAAATAAAAAAATAAAATAAAATAAAATGACTTCACCTGAATCAGAGGTCGTCTTAGAGACACCTTCATGTTTGACCTGTTCTGTCAACAATTCTGGCCTGACCAAAACAAAAAAGGCACATCGTTGTTACATCACTTCTTTAGACACTGTAGTGGTTTTATGCGAGTCTGAACAAATTTGTCAGATCATTTTAATGTGTTTTGTATGAGTATACCTCTTTATAACAAATGTAATCTGACTACTGGCGGCAAGAATCTTCCGAAGTTTTGCTGCTCCTAAACAGTTCGGCCTTCGAAAAGTCATCCCTTCTGGCAGCCCTGTGACATACAGGTCATCTGGATACATCTGGAACTTGGAATACGGCACTTTAGACGGTTCAGGCAGACCAAGAGCCTCACCTAGAACAAGAAAGAGAGATGATTTGACTGGTTGACTGGCAAATATGCAGGCTGCTGTGACAGTTGATTGTAAATCATCGAGTGAGTGAGTAAGTCCATGACTCACTGTACTTGGAGCTGAACAGGCTCTCGACTTGATTTCGCAGCTGAAGGATCATCTCTCCGATGTCTTCTGGGGAAAGGGAGGACAATCACACCAACAGCCTAAAATATCTAAAGACAAAGCTGAGTGATCTTTCGAAATGGAGTTTTACCTTCAACAGCTCTCTTGAGCCCTTGAGTTGTAGACTTCGGCGTTAAATCTTCTGCAGAGATGCAAACAGAATAACATTAACATGAGTGTAGCACATGGGAAATATTCCTGTGTGTATGATTTGATGATGTAATGTCTACAAGCTTGCAGGAGGTGTTTTGATGATTCAACTCACCTGTGGTTTACGCCAGTGACCATTTGTGTAATGCAAACTTCAACATAACAAATCCAGTGTTATTAATTACGAGTCAAAATGCTTAAACTGTGAGTTAATATGAACGCTTCAACAATGCCAAGTTTCTACACCTGACTCCTGTACAAGTAATTTTTAAAAATTATAACAAAAGTAACCGAATGTTTATAAATAACTTGCAAAGTATAAAATAAAGCCATTAAATTATTTAAAAATAAACAAAACTGCAATAACAGATTATATTTATATTTATTTTTAAATATATTTTTAAAAATATATTTATTTTTAAGCTCTCTTGTTGATTTTGATTGCTTCCATAGTCCTCATTTGTAAGTCGCTTTGGATAAAAGCGTCTGCTAAATGACTAAATGTAAATGTAAAGGTAAAATACAGATTCAAATATTAAATTCTTAAAAAAAATAGTAAATACACTATTGTTCAAATGTTTGGGGTTGGCAAGATTTTTTTTTTTTTTTTTAAAGAAGTTTCTTTTGCTCACCAAGGCTGCATTTATTTGATCAAAAATACAGTAAAAACAGCAATATTGTGAAATATTTTTACAATTTAAAACGTCTGCTTTCTATTTTCATGTATTTTAAAATGTAATTTATTCCTGTAATGGCAAAGCTGAATTTTCAGCATCATTACTGCAGGTGCTCAAGAAACATTTCTTATTATCGTCAATGTTGAAAACAGTTGTGCTGCTTAATATGTTTGTGGAAACTGGGTTACATTTTTTTTCAAGATTCTTTGATGAATAAAAAGTTCAAAAGAACAACATTAATTTGAAATAGAAATAGTTTGTAACATTATAAATGTTATACATCCTTGCTGAAAGTATTTATTTCTTTAGAAAATCTTACTGACCCCAAACTTTTTGTATAAACCACACTTTGTGACCAATGAATTTCCATGACTTTTCTATAGCCTTGCCAGTCATTCATGATTCGTGAATAAGGATTTTTAAAACTCATTTTGATTCAGACTGATTCACTAATGAATCATTCTGACCAAATCAATTCATGGAAAAGAACCAACTCAAAAAATCTGACATCTCTGGCTTTCCTGCAAGACTTACTCTACAAAAAAACAACAACACCTAGACAACAAAATATTTTATAGCATAACTAAAAAAGAAATTTTAAAACACATTTTTCAATAACCAAGGTTTCCTTCCTGTTAAATACTGTACATACATCAGAGCAGTTGAGCGTTCATATCAACTCACAGTGTATTTCTATATAGTAGGGGCGCTAACACTGGGAGTCTATTTAGGGAATTCTATTGGATGTGGGTTTATTGTAGTGGGTAAACTAGCACAGCACTGGGAACAGGTTTGACACTGGATCTGACTCGGGTGAGACTACTGTTTGGGTAAGACTGGGGGATTGGGATTGGAGTTGAATGAGAAATGTAAAACTCTTGTCTTACCACATTTTAACCTATGTTATTATCATCAGTTAAAATACTCCACACAACGCAGTGGCTTAATCAGCACTATTAGTAATATCCATGTTGAGCATAAGCTCACTGAAATGTCTTACAAGAATGGACTTGGCAGTTAGTTGGACGGACATGCACATGTACATGTAAAGATTATGAGACCGGCATTAAAAGCTTGTAGGAGGGCAGGTACAGACCGGGCAGAGGGATATGTAACTGGATGAGAAATTGGAGCGGGTTATTTTAGAGGCTTTGATATGTCATATGTTTGGGATTATCTCTGGTATGTACTACCAGAGGCACGAGATTGAAAAGATGGATGTGAAACTACATTCAGATATAAGGTAAGAAGCTACCTGCTACAGGCTCCTTGGGACGACAGAGGTCAGGGGTCACCCGCTCGGCCTGAGGCTCACTTAGCTCTTCTGTAGACGTATTGGACTCTGAGATGTAGAAGATGAGAGAAAGACGAGAAAAGAGAAAGTGAGAAGTTGGATGTAAATTTAAAACAAAATGAAATGGCATTCAAACTGCATTAAATTTTGATAATATGATGTATTGATCGGGGTTCAATTTATGCTGATAAAATTGGCAAATAATTTTTAGAATATAATGCATAGATGAATCATCCACTATGAGGCCAGTCTCTTTTGTTAACCAAGGCTGCATCTATTTGATCAAAAATGCAGAAATATGTGAAATATTATTACAATTCAAAATAATTGTTTTCTCTTATTATATATTTAAAATTTATATATGGAGCCATTACTCCAGTTTTCAGTGTCTCATGATCCTTCAGATAATAATTTCTTATTTTTATCAACGTTGAAAACAGCTTTTGTGTGTGTGTGTGTGTGTGTGTGTGTGTGTGGAAACCATCATTTTGTTCAGGATTCTTTGATGAATAGAAAGTTTAAAAGAACAGAATTTATTTGAAATATCAGAAATCAGAATCAGAATCAGAATCAGAAATATAATTTATTCCTATGAGGGCAAAACTGAATTTTTAGCCATGACTGATGAATAGAAATTCATCAAAAGAATCTAGAACAGCATTTATTTAATATAGTTTTGTAATATTATAAATTTCTTTACTGTCACTTCTGATCGATATAATGCATCCTTGCTAAAATGTATTAATTTCTTTAAAAAAAAATCTCACTGACTCCAAACTTTTGAAGAGTGCTGAACATTTTGTATAAACCAGTGATATTTATTAAGAAAGTAAATAAGACCCCATTTGATTTTAAAGTCAACATGATGCAGAATTCATAGTCCTTCCATAATCTAACATATTTCCAAGTGAAACAGGATGTTAAATGACAAAACAAAAAAATGCACAGAAATTGCTTTTATCCATCGTGGATTGACAGGATCATAAATAGTGTTCTCTGTTTGACAGGTGTTTCAAAGTAGATGTATTGAAAAGTGGTTTAAGAGACGGAAAAAATACATTTTGATGAAAGATTGTGAAAATAACGTGCACTGCTGAAGCGAGGGAAATTTAAACTTTAATTTAAAATTAAAGATATTTAAGAATGTAAATTTTTTTACATGAATAGGGTCTTTAATTAAGGTCGGAAGGTAAAGACGAGGTAAAAAGTCACATTTGATTTCAATGATGTTTTTCAATATTGTTCATGCAGCACTTGAGCTCAAATTTTCAGTTCATATATATGATGTTCCTCCAGTTTAGTTTGTGCAAAATGTCCTGCCTGTCCTCAAAGGCTCAGATCACTGCACAGCAGGGTGGAAAATGAGAGCAAATATTTTTAAATCAGAAGGCAACCATCAGAGACACACTTCCTCTCTGTGAGTAAGTGAAATATGCTAATGCATTCCCATCCAGTAGACCTACAGGGATTTCATGCTGCTTTCAACTCACAACTTTATTTAAATTTCTGCACAGATGATTGTTGTTAACTAACAATAACACCAAAAAGAGAACAAAACTTGAAGTACCAGGCTGAAATATTAAAACTCTCAGCGTGAGCTTTACTGTGGGGCTGGGAGACCATACCTGGCACTGTCACCTGGATAATTTCACCATCTGGGGGCTCCGTTTTGATCTTTTTCAAAGGAAGACAGTCCCCAGATGGCCCTGAAAAATAAAGCACACTGGTTTATTTAGAATTTTACACATAGAATATGTTTTATAATCATAAAACTGCAAGGCAGAAGCCAAAGCTGTATTAAAATGATGAGCGGACAGTCTACCTGCTTCACACTCAGCCAAAGGACTGACACAGGAGCTTGTTGATCTGAAACAAAAACAAGATTTCCTTCAGCATTTTGCACACAAATGCATCTTTACTAGTTATTTCTCCATTATTTTCTTAATTACAAGAAAAAATGGTTGTACCCGAAAGAAATTTCAAGGCCAAATGCGGAACATCTGACACACTAGGCCAAAAGTCGACATTTCTGATTTTAAATTAGTCTTGGTTTTGAATAACAATACATTGTTAGCCTATAATATATAAAAAATAAAATCTATGCAGAAAACATTTATTAAAGGAACACTCCACTGTTTTTGAAAATAGGCTCATTTTCCAACTCCCCTAGAGTTAAACAGTTGAGTTTTACCGTTTTCGAATCAATTCAGCCGATCTCCGGGTCTGGCGGTAGCACTTTCAGCTGTAGCTTAGCATAGATCATTGAATCTGATTAGACCGTTAGCATCTCGCTCAAAAATGACCAAAGAGTTTCTATAGTTTTCCTATTTAAAACGTGACTCTTCTGTAGTTACATCGTGTACTAAGACCGACGGAAAATGAAAAGTTGTGATTTTCTAGGCCGATATGGCTAGGAACTATACTCTCATTCCGGCATAATAATCAAGGAACTTTGCTGCCGTACCATGGGTGCAGCAGGCGCAATGATATTACGCAGCGCCTGAAAATAGGCTAACTTCCGTCAACATAACCAACGTGACCACCTGCTTGCACAGGGAGCGTGCTGGGGACTATTTTCAGGCAGACTAAGACCACAATAATTTCAGCCAAAGTCACATCAGACTTTTACGTCACTCTAGATTGACATTCGTCACATTTCTGCGCTGACACAATGCACTCCAAAGATTTTACACAACGGTAGTCGTTTGGTCGCTCGGATAATATGGAAGACAGTCATGATGGTAGCCAGTGGAGGGACAGTGAGGTGTAAGTATTATGGTAAAGCAAAAACTTAAGGGCAAACTTGAAAAACTTTGCTCTCTTTCTCTTCATCCTTGTCTTCATCCTTCTTATTGCCTGTATATGAAATCATCTTGTAATTGTTCCTTTGGACATACGGGTCAGTTCGAGGCTGTGAGCAATCCACACTGATTTTGGCCACAAAAAATATGATGTGTACAGCCAAACAAAAAATCTGATCTGAGCAATAAAGCAGAACTGAGCACTAAGGCTTGCAGTGTGAACGTAGCCAAAGTTATCAGATTTGTTTCAACAGAGTTTCAGGTCACATTTTCAGCTGAAATTTCTTTCCTACAGCTGAAATTTCAGTGTATGGCTACAGGAAAGTAAAAAGACGCAATCTATCTCTAAGAAAATACAGATATTATGCTTCTGTGGTGACAGGAAAGGTAAATTGGTACCTGCTACTGTGAGTGTTGCTGATCAGCTCTAGAGAAGAGCTCGGGACCCTGAGGCCGTCTGGGAATCCGTCCTCAGGAGCGGCACCATCCTGTTTGCCCTCATCCTTAGCTACTTTACCAGCAGCTTGCAGAAAATGTTAAAATGTGCTTAATGTTGTAACATCTAATTCATTTCAATCAGAAATATTATTGAATAAGACTGAATAAACCTGTCTATATAAGGTTAAACAAAACAATTTAATTTGTTAAAGGTCAGGCAAGGTAGAAATAGCTCCTTAGGTAACAACAGGACATTTTCACTTTTTACCGTGCAAAAAAAGATACCATGCTATGTAATAACAATGCTATTACATTATAATAAGTGCATTAGGTAAACAGGAGCCAAACAAATACTGGTTAAGGAAATGCTTACCAGTAAAAATTCGTTCGTCAAACATTCTAAGAAAAGAAAAAGAAAATTGTGAGTTCATGTGAGCCATAAGCATATTAAAACATTGAAATGCTGTCTACGCATGTCTAGTGCCGAGCAGCAGGAGATTTCCTCATTACGCCAAATCAGCGGCTCCACGCTGGCTCATGTATGGCAATGGTTACCACAACCAGCATGACGCTCCACTTTGGATGCCTAGCGCCGCTCTGCCAGATGGCAAAGACGGCTAGACATTTTTATTTTCTTATGAAGCAAATTAAAAACTCAGTATATCCAGTACCAATATCTGGATTCATTTTCAATGAGCCACACAGTTAATTACATGACACAGAAAATGAAAGGTTATCAGTAATTAAATCTCTGACACTGTCGTCACATGTTGAAATTGGAAGAGCTACAAATCACACTGCCGCTGTTTCAGTTTAACTATTCTGGTTTAACTCTGACTACGGCTCAATTCATCTTAACTGACACAGAAGGAAATCTCTCTCATCAGGTCAACATTAGTTCTCCAATAAAGGAATGTTTAGATGGAGTTTCAAACCTTTTAACAACAAAGCGGACAGCATGCCTTTCTTCCAGGATCTGTTTGAGTTTAGGCACACCGTAAGTGCATGGTCTCTTGAAGGGAATCTTGTCTGGAATTCCAATGATCTCTACCGCCTCAGGATCACAGGCGATTTTCCGGTATGGCACAGGAACCATGTGATCCAGGCCTAATGCTTCAGCTGAAATGAACATCAAACAAGTGATAAGTTAAAGCTGAAGTATGTGATACTCTGCACTACCAGCATCGAAAACATTTTAAATGGTGTTTTAAAACAGGTTTTAAAACAATCCCCTAACTGCCATTGGTCAACCAAAAAAGGTGGCCCCGCCCCAAACACACACCATTGGTTGAGCCAGTGTTGCTGGTTGTTTTGATAGCACCACAGAGGTACAGTGTTTACACCTTTCAGATGACTCAACCTACTAATGGTTTACTTACAGTTATCTGCATATTAATCTGGGATAAGAGAAAAAACTTTAACCCTATAAAGCCTACTGTATTTTTGATCCACACATTTAGAAGGCCTCTAAGTTATCAACAATTGAGTTTTTTTTCTAAAGGTTTAATACATTTTTCAAAAAAAAATGATTGTTTGCACTAGTATTTTATATGTCAAGGTTAACACTGAAAAAAATGACATGCTCCAGCTATCATTAATATGCAGTATTTTATTGTAGCTTGGTATGACTGTGAATTCTGCATTGTGACTTCAGCTCACCATATCTACTGTTGAAGAGGATCTGAACACATTCTCGAAGGGTGTTGATATCCTCAGTCTCCCTGATGAACGAATCCCATTTTTCTGTGCATGAGATACCAAAAAAAAAGTATCATGTAACAATCAAATTTTATATGTTCCCTATTAAGGCAAAAGCAATAATGTCACAGTCTCAATTAACATTTTGTGAAATGCATTTGCATACATTGAGGTTTTCCTCTGTACTTTTAGACATAGGAGACAATTAAGGCAGGTCTTGACTCTCTGCAGTCACTGAAGATCTCATGCTGATCTTTTGAGAGGAACAGACTTTGGTAGCCCAGGTGACCTGGCTAAACTCCCGTTACTACTGCCCACTCTGCCAAGTTCAGCTCTCTTTATGTCTCACCCGCCTGTAGCAAATACCACTCATATATAAAGAACAATCGGTAACCCTTTAGAATAGGGAACACATACTCACTATTAACTAAGAGCTTTCCCTGAACAAACTCCTAATTTAATAGTTAGTAAGGTAGTTGTTAAATTTAGGTACGGGGTTGGATTAAGGGATCATAAAATATGGTCAAGCAGAATAAGGTATTAATATGTGCTTTATAAGTACTAATAAATAGGCAATATGCTAGTAATATGCATGCTAATAAGCAACTAATTACTGTAATTGCGAGAATTGGTCCTTAAAATAAAGTGTTACCGAACAATTTGTGGATCATTAGATATGATTGATTTATTTTCCAGAGAGCTTAACATAGTTAAAATGGCTGTGTTTTCTTACTGGGAGGAATAGTTCACCTAAAAAATTCTGTCATTATTTATTCACCCTATTGAAGGTGAAACATAAGAGAAATTCTGAAGAATCATCATACCATGTTTTTATAAACTAAAGAACAGTTTATAATAAACACATCAATAGGTCATGCTCCAAAAAAAGGAAAGGAGTCCAAATGACTAGTTCGCTTTATCCCTTCAGTCAAAGCTCTGACATGGACAAAAAATACCTTGAAAACCTTGAAGGCAAAACACTACAAGCAAAACCATTGTTTTTTCAAGCATTGATCCTTTTTGAGATTTTGTGCTATTTTATTTCTATAACTTTCATTTGATTCCATAAATATTCTTTCAGACTAGTGGAAAGAAAACATCCAAAATATACATTCAGGTATTTATTTTATGACACTTTATCTATTTGTGTCTGTAGATTTCAAATATAATACATATCTTTAAAGGCTGTTTTTTGTTTTTTATTCTGAAGGTTTTTACAGAGGGGAATGTTAATATATCATTCACCTGGTTTATATAAAATTGTATTCCTAAAAACGTAATTTTTTTGGTGAATAGCAGTGAATAATGACTAATACAATTAGGAATGATTACAACATTTTCAATTGTCATGCGTAACGTTAACATATGGTGTCAGAAGACTTTAAACACAGTGCAGGAGTCATCTGGACAGCTTTTATGGTGGGGCTTTTTTATGCTATATTGAAAAAAAACTTGTATTAAGACTCTTCAAAAATTCTCCTTTTGTGTTCACTACATAACAGCATACAGGTTTGGAAAGACATGAGTGTGAATAAATAATGACAGAACTTTAATTATTGGGTGAACTATCCCTTTAAAGTGTGAGAAGATGCCTTGTCTTTGTCTTTGTATTTTAGGGAGGAAATTAACTTAAATTAACTTCCACTGAAATGAAGGCCAGCTTGTCCTTGGCCAGACGCTGTAATGGTGAGTACAGTCTGTCGCCCCTAGACGAACCATAGCTGATTGGTGAGGGACGTAACATATAAGGAAAAAAAACTTGTATTAAGACTCTTCAAAAATTCTCCTTTTGTGTTCACTACATAACAGCATACAGGTTTGGAAAGACATGAGTGTGAATAAATAATGACAGAACTTTAATTATTGGGTGAACTATCCCTTTAAAGTGTGAGAAGATGCCTTGTCTTTGTCTTTGTATTTTAGGGAGGAAATTAACTTAAATTAACTTCCACTGAAATGAAGGCCAGCTTGTCCTTGGCCAGACGCTGTAATGGTGAGTACAGTCTGTCGCCCACCTGATTTTTCATGCACTATGGAGAACAGAAGGCGCTTGGAGACATGAATGCTGGGAGGGCTCTGGGTAAGATCTGCTGCCAGCCCTACTCTCTCGCCTGGAAGAGACACACAGTCAGAGCAAGTCAGAGTTAAGTACATAAAAAAGAACCATATCCATATGGTGCAGCACCTACACAAGTAGTATCACACATCATAAGTGCATCTCTAATATCCATAGAAATATACTGGCAGCCAATGTATATAGAAGAACAACAGGAGGCTCATACCATTGTCAGCACATTCCTTGGCCTGAACCGCTTTCTCGTCAGCGGACACCCACATGCCCAGCCACTCTTTACCTATGCTGTGCAGTGATGTGGGCTTCAGGTCCAGCTTGCTGTCTGGGTGAGGCTGGGAGGACATGGGCATGCCGTACAGGAAGCTGGAGAGCATGGAGTTGCTAGCAGACGCTTCCTGCACAGAGGGTTTGACAGAGGCGTGGTTGCTTACGCTCTTTGAGGTCGAAGAGTGATGGTTGACTTCCGGACAGTATTTGGCATCCCGAGAGGGTTCCTCTGGTGTTCTATTAAAACACATACACACATTTTTGGTCTTTGTTCATTGGGTGCTGATAGTGACAAAATGATAAAACAATGATACAATTGTAGTAATTTCTTCTTCAAAAAAAAAACAACAACTTTACTTTACTTTACTCTGAGTTTCCAAATGACTTACACTAACTACTCACACCAATTATGTTTTTTGAATGAGAGCAGTTATTCATATGATTTAATGCTAAATATAAACCATCTGACAATAGAGCCACTCATTATAAGGTAAAACATGATATATATAAAATGTGATAATGATATATGTCTGTATGATGTATGGATTCTGTAATGAATATAGTGCTAAACAGGTACAGTACATAGAGTATATCCTTCAAAAGTTTGAAAGTCAGTTAGATTTGTAAAAGTTTTTGAAAGAAGTCTCTTTCACCAAAGCTGCATTTCTTTGATCAAAAATACAATAAAACAGTAATATCATGAAATATTATCACAATTTACAATAACTCTTTTCTATTCAAATATATTTTAAAATGTAATTTATTTCTGTGATGACAAAGCAGAATTTTCAACAGCCATTATTCCAGTCTTCAGTGTCACATGATCCTTCAGAAATAATTCTAATATGCTGATTTGATCGTTTAAAAACATTTATTACTATTCTCACCGTCAAAAACAGTTGTGCTGCCAACTGCCAACTTAATGAGTATTAAAATCTTACTCACCCCAAACTTTAGAACAGTAGCGGTATAAAAACACATTTCCATTTTGTCAGCATGTTTTATCCTATTCTCACCGTCAAAAACAGTTGTGCTGCCAACTGTTTTTCTGGACACTGTGATACATGTTTTTTTTCAGGATTCTTTGATTAATTGGATTTGAATTTGAAACAGATTTTTTTGTTACGATCAATTTAATGCATTCATGCTGAATTAAAAATATTAATGAGTATTAAAATCTTACTCACCCCAAACTTTAGAACAGTAGCGGTATAAAAACACATTTCCATTTTGTCAGCATGTTTTATCATTTTTCTTGTTTTCATTCTACTTCTTGCTTTTGTTTTGCTGATATGTCTTTTATCTATTCAAGAATTCATAGGGATGCACTTTTCCATTTTATTTCACAATCTTGTTGTGCAGAAAATTCAGACCTTGTGTGAACAGGCCTTTGCTTTCTGCCCATGACTCCACAAGCATATTATAAACAATAAACTAGAAGAAGACCTTTTGACTATGAAGCGAATGCGGTTGCTCTGCTCTAAGATCTTCATTAAGGTCCTGGTGTCGTATTCCGAAGGCTTTCTCACAGAAACACCATCAGGCAGGCCGTAGACAACCACTGAGCTGGGATCCTTGAGAATCCAGTCATAAGGCACAGGGACCAGGCTGCTCTTCCCAACAGCCTCACCTGAAACACATTACATCGCAGTAGATTAACGTGTTTTGATTCGTGCCAAAAATCTACAATAATGTAGAGAAAATCTTAATCAGCTACTATCAGCTTACTATAAAGCACGCTGAACACCTCCTCCACCATCTTCCTCAGGACGAAGATGTTGGAATGAGTGTCTGTTAAGGCTCTCTGTCTGCCCTGCTGCCCGCAGTCTTTGCCAGTCCTGCTGCAGTCCACATCAGGAACTTTGGCGTGGGAGTTCATGGCGGTCAATGCTTGCAGACAGGACACTTCTGTGGAAAATAAATCTGTTACTTCTGAGGAAACAGCACAACTACCATTTAAACACCTGTACTATTATGTGCAGATTACATTCAAAACCATTGTTTTCAACTTTGATTTCGTGTTAACTCACTGCAGAATTTGTGAAAGTCTGTCTGTATTTCCTTTCTGGAGTTTAGGAAGATTCTTCCCTTCTCTGTTCCCACGGCGATCACGCTGTCTTCATGCACAGTGACACAGGCCACCTCAGCATTGAGTTTAGACATGGCAGAGCACTGCAAACACAATTCACATCAAGTCATCCACCACCAAAATTCTGCATTAAACACACACCGTAAGTATCTTTAAACTCAGAACGTGTTACAGTCTTACCACAGAGCCCAGGGCAGACACTAGGCTGGTGAGGATTTCTTGTCTGGCTGACACTTGGGGAACTTTGAGCTCTGGCCGAGGGTTGGTCCTCATCCCATCACAGCCAAGCTTCCGTATCTGTGCCATTCTTCTGCAGGAAGAGACACAGAATAAAGCACACTGAAATCCAATGCAGGTCTATAACACTACACTAAATATAAAATTAATTACTCATTAACTTAAAACTAAAAACACATAACAATTATATATGAATTAACAACATGTACTTATTACGGTTGTTTATAATCATGTTATTACTATAGTAAGTACATGTAACGTAACAAGTACACAAAAATAAAGTGTCAGCAAAGTTTGTTATCAGATTGTTAAAGGACCTTACAGCAGACACCATATTTAATTTGACACAAATAAAAAATGTTATAAGGGACAGATGTACAGTGAAAAGCATCTCTTGCTATTGAGTTGACACAGGATAGACAGAGAAACAAACAGTATTCAGTGTAATCCAATTCATGAACAAATGACTTATCTGAGGTAGTTCTTTTCATGAACTCACTAAATAAGAGAAGTTACTTAATCAGCATCTGTCTTACTGAACTGCATGTTATCACTACTTTCAATGATGTCTGTCTTCGAAATGAATTGATGATTTGTATACTCAAGGTTTCATGAAACGTGCAGTTGCTTATTACTGACAACATGTAGGCTTTATAGGTTGGTAATTAATATATTATCCTTTAGTGTGCCATCCAAACATTCTTTCTCAGAAAAATAATATAATAATAATAATAATAATAATAATAATAAAAAATTTGGGAAAGCAAGCTAAAATTGTGTTTTTTTAATGAAATTATTTTATTAAATTATAGATTTATATATATAATTATTATTACTTCTTTAAGGAAAGCTTAAAAATGTAGGCTACACTTTTTTATTGTACATTAGCAATATGGTTTGTTTGTATGTATGTTGTTTATATATTATTGTTATTTATGATTATGAACATTACATGGCCGCTTGCTCTAACGTTAACCTAGAAAAATGTGTGCTATTCAAGTGTTTGTGCGGAATGTGGAAGCTGAATAGTAGCACGCTCACTGCATGACAGATAACTTAGGGGCACTGGTGCGATCATTTGCATTTAACTTTAAATACTCTGTCATTTTTGCTCATAGAGTAATAGCTACATCTTTCAAATTTGTAAAAGGTTTACTTTTATTTGTGTGCACTCACAATAACAACAAAACGTTGTGCTTTTGTAAAATAATGAAAGCAAACAGGGTGTGCTTTCTGCCATCTAGGCCTCTGTGAACTTGAGCAGGTCAAAACAAAACGTTGTGCTTTTGTAAAATAATGAAAGCAAACAGGGTGTGCTTTCTGCCATCTAGGCCTCTGTGAACTTGAGCAGGTCAAAAAAAAAAATTAACCGAAACTCTGTGCTTGCCTCACAGACATGAAAAATATATCTATAGAAAGTAAAATGTCTACTTTTAAATGAACCAATTCAAATGGAAAACAAATATTTTCAGATTATGTAATCCGTATGAAACATGCACGTCTGCAGTCCGTGGAGATGACGAGTCAGTGCCGTCGACTTCATCGCTGCAGCCGAAAATACAGATAACATTAGTTTATCAATTAATTATCATACTGTTAAGGCAGTCTTCTTGCTGTTTTTCTCCCTGACGCATTCATAATCATCACTTCTGCCGGTGTGCTGTTGCAAGATTTATCTTGAGCGCTGATAGGCCAGAGGCCTATTATTATGAATTATATATGGTTTATTAATATAAACATGCAATTTGTCAACTAAAAATGAATGACTACTAGTCGACTAAAAAAATCTTTATTCGAGGGCAGCCCTAGTTTTCGGCCAAGTGCATCCAGAATTTTCGGTTTCGGCCCAGAATTTTCATTTCGGTGGATCCATAGCAAATAGCTATTAGAATTCTGTAGGAAACACTGATATGCCGTCTACCCTGCGATTACGGTCTGCAGGAAGCACAGACATGATGGGAATACATTAACAACTAATCATAATTAATGGACTCATAATAATTACGTGCAAAAACAAACCAATATGTTTTGTTAATTATATACTAGAGTAAGAAGGCTTCAAGCTCCCCATTAACTTTTTAAAATATGTTCGGCTGTACAAAATGTATTGAAGGATGGAAAAACCTATAAGAAGCTTTGGAAAGTGATAGTAATACCCTTCCCTGTGCTAATACACCAAAATCCGTCACACACATGTGAAAGTAGCTAATTACGATAAGCCTTTGTCAACCAATTAAAGCTAGCTCAGATTATTGCCGTAAAACCCTTCATCCTTAATTTGTTCTCCTTGGAAGCAAGACAGGGCCTGGAAGCATGAGCCCTCTAAAGTGAACTACTTTACCCGTCCCTCTCGACAGACGCCCCCCTGAATCCAATCTCGATTTCAGCCACGTCGGCTCTGAAAGCTGTAAACTTGAGTACGGACTAAACTAAGGTGGGTTTAAAAACAAGCACACACCAAACAACAGTTTAAAGATGAAAACCAAGCAAAAACAGCAGGGATGACGAATGTGAGCTGTAAAACAAATAAATAAATAATGCAATCCTAATTCCGGGCCTTGTGTTCACATGGCAACTGCAAACCGTTTCCTTGGAAACTAATCTCGAGGCATGTGAACAATGCAGCTCTGGCCTTTAATCTCTCCAGACACTGGGAGCCATTATCCAAGACTCCGGGTAAAGCCAAAACCTCAGACTGCACAGAGAGAGCCCAGTACTACTATTACTTGTCTGAAAACCTCCTATAAATCCTGCTGCAGCTCAAAGCCGGATGCCTCTGCCTGAGCGTAATCTTACATACAACATCTGAACACCAACACCTTATATCTATAGTTAATTTCGGATTCATTCAAACGGCCAGATCTAATTCACTACTTTGGGTCCTTAGTTGAAAAATAAAGTCCTGCTACACTGTAAAAATGATTTTTCGAATTTGTAAATGATTACTGGAGTACGTGTTAAAAGAAAATACAATTTCAGTCTTTCTACTTCAAAATTTCACGTTTAATTCAATGTGTTGCTTGCCGTTTCTTTGTAATTATTTGTGAAACTTACTAGGAATTTCTGAGTGGAAATAGCTCTGAGGTAAATCCAACGCCAATTTTTTTTTGTGTATGTTCTGATGCTTTAGCGTAATAATGGACGTCAGAATTAGCACAACCTGCGTTGCATGTTCAGGAAGTTTTCAGACAATAAAACAAGACTTTTACAATTTATGAAGAAAATGTGAAAGGTGCTTGCACATGCAAAACTTTGTCACAATGTCAGGTTTTGCTATTAGGTGCTATCTGGGTTCCTCCTTTAAAAAAAAATCAGCCATATAATTTTTTTTTTCTTTTTGCTAATTTTATTTTGTCAACAGACAAAAGCCAAGATTTAAAAAAAAAAACTGAGACATTTCTGCATTGAGTAAAAGATGACAGAATATTTGGGTGAACTACACCCATACATACAATATATATATATATGTATGTTAGGGATGTAACGATTCACTCAACTCACGATTTTGATTTCACGATTCGATTCACGATTTTTTTTTTAACAAAATTATATTTAAGACAAATTATAAATTAAATGTGTCCTTTTATTATTGCTTGGACAAAATGCTGCACATTTCTTTGTGAAATACTGTACGTTTCTTTGTGAAATTGAAATAACACTATAATAATAATAATATAATATACTAATATAGCACTTGTCAATTATTGCTCTTTTGATTGCTTCTATTGTCCTCATTTGTAAGTCAATGACAAATTAACAACATTTAAATATAATGTAAATGTAAATAACAAAACAAAAAAATTTTTTATTTTAAAACAAGCCCCAAATCAAATGAATAAGTAACACAAATAAAAAAAAATCTCTTCATATAAACAAACTAAGTAAGGCTTAAGGCTAGGGCT